CTTGAGTTTTTTTGTTTTAGAAAAAGTCAAGATTCAAACTTTGATCATTTAATCAAAATACCATGAGTCTATCACCATTAGCATAACAGATTTTGCCATCAAATTTAGTCAATTTCACCACAGAAACTTAGTCATGCTATGTTAAAATTGACTGAATTTGTAATGACTAATTTCATCCCAAAAAGACTAATTTGTGACTAGACAAAATCGCGACCATACCTTGCCCGTTACTATGTTGTTGTTGTTTTTTTTGTTTTTATATTTTTTAAATAAGTAAAAAATATAACACTGTTACTATATGACTAATTTACGAATAAAATAATATTTTTAGTTACAATTTCATACGAAACGATCCTCGATCTTTGCTTGAAGAACACAACAATCACTTGTGTTAAATAATATCTAAAAATCATTCAAAATGTAAATAAATAAAAAAAATCAGAAGCAAACTCATTTGCATTCCTTTGAATTGGTAAATTAAATCCAACGTTGGCCAAAATAAAGCCCCACCATAGAAGGAAAGCCCAGATCCATTCTCAAATAGGGTTGTTGGCTCAAATGTATACACTTCCGCAAGGGACAAGCTCAGGGGTAGTTACCACTTACCACTATTATGCAAAAAATTAGTTTCAACTTTTCTAATTGCACACCACAAACCAAGGTGGTAATAGTATGAGATGAGTTTGATTGTGTCACTGGGTGATGCTCCAAATCATACAAGTTTTCATTTTTAATTTTTTAAGAAATTCCATAGCCAACAAGTGATTGCTCAATTTGGGTTGACACACGGTAGTGGTAAGGAGTTGTTGGGTGGTTTCTTTGTAATTGTTCACAATTGAGGTGTCCGTGATTTGGCAATATGGTTGCAAAAAAGGGCACTGGCTCCGGAACTTGGAGATATTGGTATTTGGAGAAGGTATAGAACCCCAAATTGGGAATCTTGATGGTGATCATCATGAACATGATTGGAACAACCACTACATGCCAAAAGGACATCGAGTGTTTTCAACAAATAAGGATGAGTAGGGAAATAGAAGCCAAAATCTTCTGTCGGTAGTTGTTCCCTCCTTAATTATGATTTTATTCACAATAACATAAAAGACTTCTCATTTTGATATTTATAATTTTTTTATCTTCTAAAAATTGAAATTATTGTATTACGCTCTTATAAATATGGTGGAGATCTCACATCAACTAATGAAATAGTAATAGTATAATATATTGGAAGAAATTAGGTCACCTGCTATTAAGTTATTATCAGATTATCTACAAATATCTTATTTGGTAAGCTTCACGTTTGAGATGTTTAATCCTTGATTTGAATATGTGTGCTGGAAACCACAAGTATCTGATAATAGGTGACCTAATAAATCTAAACAATAATATTAAGATAAACTTTGATACCATCTTAATTAAGAAAGTGAATTTGAATAACTTTATAAAACTGGTTTGTAAGGTAAAAATTACTTCTCACTTATATATATTATTATGACTATTTCACTAGTCGATATAAGATCTCCAACAAAATAAGAACATCTTGGTTTTAACCTACGTGAAATATTATATATATATATATATATATATTCATCTTTCAAAAAATTTAAAATAACTATTTTTAGTCTTAACCTTATTTTAAGGTAAATAAATAATTTTTATTTTATAAAATTATATTTTGTATTATAAAAGTATCATATACTAATATTATATCATACATAGTAGTATTTACATCCAGGTTATTTAGTCTTTAGTAGGGATGACAATATATACCTGTACCCGCGGGTAATACCCGAACTCGTCCCGACTTTAACGGGAAATACCCGGTTTGACCGGGTACGGGTACGGGTACGGGTAAAACCTGATATATTAAATCGGGTACGGGTATGGGTACGGGTATGTACTTACCCGCCCCGTACCTATACCCGTACCCATCCCCGTTCTTATTTTTAATTTAATATTCACTTTTAATTTAATTATATTAAAATTTTTTAATATTTTTTTATGTGTGATTATTTATTATAATATAAAATAAAGAAATAACTTAATTATAATTTTAATATAATAAAAAAAATAATTTAAAAATATCATTTTTTTTACAAAAAATAAAAAATAAAAAAATTGATGGGTACGGGTACGGGTACGGGTATACCCGATACCCGACGGAGACGGGGATGAGGATGAAAATCTATACTCGACGGGTATGGGGACAGGGACGGGGATGAGTCTAACTCGCAGGGACGAGGACGAGTATCATGAAACCCGTATCCGACCCGCCCCGTTGTCATCCCTAGTCCTTAGGCTCCAAGTGCTTAATACTAAGGTGTCTCATGAACAAAACATTAGTAAATAAATGTAGAGGCATTAACAACGCAATTAAAATTAAGACTAGCTACGATGATATCATCCACATATACCAACAAAATAACCAAGGATGATCCAAAACCATGTGTGATTAAAGAATAATCATTTTTAGATTATGTAAAACCATGTTGAAACATGAAAATTTGTAAAACCACTATCTTGAGGCTTGCCTAAGACCATATAATGACTTGTTGAGTTTCCAAATTAGTCCATTATTACTAGTTTTATAATCCTGAGGTAAATCCATGTAAACCTCTTCAAATAAATCTGCATTTAAGAACACATTATTCATGTCTATAGTTGTTGTAGACACCAATTTTTAGAAATAGCTACTGCCAATAGAACTGTCACAGAGTTAATCTTAGCTACTAGTGAGAAAGTGTCTAAGAAGTCAATCCCAGCTTGTTGAGTGTAGACCTTGGCTACTAGGCGAGCCTTGTATGTATCTATTGAACTATCGAATTTGTATTTCAGCTTGAATACCCATCTACAACCTATGGAATGCTTGCCATCGGGTAAAGGAACTAAAGACTAGGTGTTATTCTTTTCTAAGGCTTTAATTTCCTAGGCCATGGCTTCTCTCCATTTAGAAAAAGGAACAAATTGATGGTAGAATTGAGACTCATATGTGGTTGATACTTGATTAATAAAAGCTTTGTAAGATGATTGAGGGGATCCAAAGAGTAGAATTGTTGAATGGGTATGTTTGTGAAGTGTTGGAACACACAAAATTAGAAAGGTAAAAAAAAGCCTTTGAGATTCTTGATTATTTCGTTAAAGGAGCATGCATAAGAGTATCATTCACTTTAGATGTTGTAGATTCAACATTAATTGTTGTTGCAGAAGCATTAACTGATGAATCAACAATAGTTAAAGGAATGAGCAAATCACTTATAAAATCAAAATCTCTTGATTAGGTGTTACTGAATTGAAGAGAAAAACTCTTATGAAAAACCACATCTTAAGAGACAAAAAATTGTTTAGTCTATAAATTATATAATGTGTATCCTTTATAACCTTTTGCCAATGATTATAGATGGGATGGCCTTGGGAGAAAATTTATTTCTTGTACAAGGTAAAGTGGCTGCATATGCCAAGCAACCAAAAGTTCTTAAGGATAGATAATCTAGCTTAGAATCAAAAAGGACTTGGTAAGGTGATTGTTGCTGTAAAATAGGAGAATGAACTTTTGTTAATGAGAAAAACAACAATGTTTACACATTTTCCCCAAAACTATATTGACAATTTGGATTGAAAAAAATAAGACCCTGGCCAAAACAACCTAAAATTATATAATTATTTGAAGTTAATTAAGAGAATGAAGAACCAAAGAGAATAAATTAGTTTGGCTCAAGTATCTCATAAATATAACCAGGAAAATAATTGCCACGAAATAATCAATTTGCCTCAATATCTCATAAGTAATCAGTTTGGCTTTTTTTGACATTATATCCAAAATACCATGAAATTGTAAGTTAATTCCAAAAATTATTTCAAAAGCTAATCCCTTCAAATGATAACTAATCATTAATATGATAATAAAATCAGGTGCCAACAGCAACATTCAAGAACTTTCAAATATAAACACATAAAAGAATGTTGACTTTTTTTTTTCCAAAAGAGAGGGTTCTTGGTGCCACAGAGAAATCATGGCGGATGCAAGTTGCTGCCATGACGAACGCAAGTTGCTACCACAAAGAAGGCAAGTTGCTGTCACGATGGGGGCAAGTTGTTTAATTAGGTGTGTATGTACTGCAAAATGTTTTACATTTTATTTTTTAGAGGGAAAAATCATGATTATGAGAGGGAAAAGGATGGTTTTCGTATATATTTTGTTTTATTTTAGAGAAAAAGATATATAAGCGGGAAATCAGTATTTTAATTAGAAGAGGTTATGAGCATGAGTAATAGATCCAACAACATGTTCTGGAATGGATCCATCTACAAAACTGAGCTTGTTCTTGCCAAGAAGTACCATTTTCATTGTTGTCTTCCAAGAATTGTAATTCTCACTAGTCAGAGGATGAGAGACAAGTATCAATTCAAGATTATCGGATGAATGAATGAAAAGAGGATAGGATTCATCCATGTCAACCATGGGAGAAAAACAGAAAAAGCTTCAAGAAAGCTTTAGGAATGAAAAGATGATACTTTGTTGGAAGCTTATAGTAACAAAAGGTGCTGACGAATTTCAACCGATACCATGTTAAATGAGAAAACAAGTAATTGATTAATTGAAGAATTACATGAAGATGGTTTTTATACATCTATAGTGAGCTAACTAACTTCTAACAGGCTAGAAGAAAATAACTACTTTTTAATTAACTCTAATATGAAATACTTTGGATTGACTTGAGACGACTACAATGCTTGTAAAAGTATAATTACTGAAAATGTTTAATGATCCTTTTGTGAGAAAGCTTCAAAAATATGTTCAACTAATGTAAAGGTACATCGAAAAATAGAAACATATATTGTATTAATATTCTATTTTGAAAGATAAATTCTCTTTTGCAAAAGAAAAAAAGATAAAAGTAAGAATGACAATTTAATTATAGGTGTTTTAGTATAGAAAAAGAAAAATAAGGCAATCCCAGATCTTTCCCTTGTAGCAATTATGTTAGAACAACTAATTGGAATCAATTCTCTCATTTATAAACTTGTGAAGAAGAAACAATTGCTTGATATGATTCAAACAAAAATAAATTGAAAGCATTAACATACAATTTATGTTTTCATATTATTTTAATTATCTTGCCTCCAACAATGAGTTAGACATTTCATTGAGGGAATATGAATCAGTATTTCTGAGAGAAGTATCTATCATGGTTGAATTATCTTTTCCTGTGTAGAAGCCAGGTTGGCTTGGCTCGGGTAATAACTTTTCACCATTCAACATTAGAAGTATTGATGACATGTTTGGTCTATCTTGTGGTCTCTGTTGTACGCATAACAAACCAATATGAATATTTCTTATTATTTCATATTGAGTAGTTGAATCTTCCACTAATTCATCCACAAGTTCCATTGGTCTACTTTCAATCCATAGTCTCCATGCCTGAAAATAATATAGAAATCTCAAATCAAAGAGTTCATTTTCCATATTAAAAACTATTCAAAAGCGTTATTATTCAAATTTAGCTTGCTAAATTTTTAGACTTACATGCCCTAGAAGATTTAGGCTACGATCTGGGTCACAAAACCCCCTGTTTTTTCTCCCACTAATTATCTCCAAAATAATCACACCAAAGCTAAAAACATCAGATTTAATGGAGAAAGATCCATGTACAGCATATTCAGGAGGTATGTAACCACTGCACAACAAAACAGGAGTCCATAGTCAAAACCTAAAAGCAGTTGTGGAAGGAGAATGAAAATATTTACAGAAAAACTTACTATGTACCCATTACTCTATTTGTATCTGCTTCATCTTGATCTAACGCAAATATCCTGGCCATACCAAAATCTGATATTTTTGAGTTCATATCACTATCAAGAAGAATATTGCTGGCTTTAAGATCTCTATGAATGATCTTCAGTCTTGAATCTTGATGAAGATAAAGAAGTCCTCGAGCAATTCCGCCAATAATTTCAAATCTCTTAGTCCAACCTAATAATGCACGCTTTGTTGGATCTGATAAAGTTCACTTCTAGGTTAGCATGGGAACTATCAGATAAAATTAAAAAGAAATGGAAGAATGATTTTCTGGCAAAGCTCCAACCGAAAATAAAGTAGTCCAAACTTTTATTGGGCATGAATTCATAAATCAACAACTTCTCATCTTGTTGAATAGCACAACCAAGAAGCTTTATGAGATTACGATGTTGAAGTTTTGCAATCAACATAACTTCAGTTTTGAACTCGTCCAAACCTTGTCTAGAAGTTTTACAAAGCCTCTTAACTGCAACTTCTTGCCCATCTGGTAGTATACCCTGAAATTTTTTTTTCGAAACAATGAAATTATTTTGATGAAGATGAGTACTTAGATTAAATTTAGTTTTTATACCTTGTACACTGTTCCAAAGCCACCTTGTCCCAATTTATTGTTTTGTGAAAAGCGATTTGTGGCATTGGATATGAATGGAAAATCAAATGTTGGTAAATCAATGTCATCCTTTTCACTTTTTTCTTTCTCTGCAATGGCATAATTATAAGTAGATCTCAATAAAGAAAATTATAAATATAATGTAATTTTCTGTAATATGTAACAAGAATCAAAATTTAGAAATGAAGATTAGTTCTTTCACATTCTTGTAATGAACTATTTAAAGTAAAATCTATATAAACTATCAATATTTAACTAGGATGAATTAGTTTGTCTACTTTAGTTTTCGTTCTTCGAATGCGAAATATCTATCGATATAATGGTAACAAGGAAAGTTGTGCAAGATACGAATGAAGAAAGTGGCAATGATTAGAACCAAATTTGTTTTGAGTTGATTCCATAAGCTAGTATATTTTAAAAATTTATAATCTGATAAAGATAGATAAATAAGAAAGTGTATCTCTCTGAATAAATATATCTTGATGTATGGTATTGTAATATTACATTTACAGTAAACTAGGGACAAAATCCTGATGAGGAAGATGAACCTATACACAATGTTTTAAAAATTGGACCAGACCGACCGGTCGGACCGGTTGAACTGGGAATCAGTAATCTAGTTCACTACATTAAAATTAATTTTTTGTGGCAATTAATTTATTATTTAGCGCCCATATAAATGATCATTATTTTTTTTACCAGCATTTAAATAAAGGCTGATGTATCCAGTGTCGCTAATACTATTATCGGCATTTATATAAAATATTGGTAAAGATCTACTAAATTGTCTAAAAAACTTATTTTTTTAGTAGCAATTCTAGTAGCCATTTTAAAGGCTATTAAAAGTTATTTTTTTCAATTATCTCCTTTACTTAATTTATTCCTATAATTTCCTTTTCTAAATTCATAACTTATATACCTTTTTTTATTATCTCTACTCGATGTGGGATTTGTAAGATAAGGGTTGTCTTTTATTTATATATATTTTAATTTATTTTTTTAATTATCTTGTCTCTTAAGAAATGTGAGATTTATAAGGTGAAAGTTATTCTCTAATTGTTTTATAACACTATTGAATTTGGTAATAAACCTATAAAATAAACCTGTAATGTGATAGTTATTACTCACTTATATACTATTTAATTATCTTATCTCTAATCGATGTGGGACTTAAGTTTTTTCTAATAAATAATTGTCGTAAATAGTAAACTTTAATGTAATATAAATACATTTTTAGTGGTTATTATATATTAGCCATTAATATTTTTATATATGGCGGCAATTAAATTATTGTCATTAAATAATTGTCGTTAATAACAAATTTTGTTGTAGTGGTCGATTCAAACCTTGAGTTGGATTGATTATGCATTTGACCCGTTTTAAATTGAAGTGAATCGGTCAAATTTTCTGTTCGACCAGTGAACCAGTGGGTCAAACTAGTTCAACCATAATTTTTTTTAAATTTTTTTAAGGGACCACAAACTACAAAAATGACAATGGAAATTGAATCTTGTTAATGAAAGAGCAAAGAGTCTTATTAAAACATAACAATGACTACTTGTTTTAATGTATTTGTTTGTAATATATGCAACCTAAATAACTTTTGAATAAAGTAGAGCAAATAGAAAATAAGACAGCACAACGGCAAAGGATTTGGGGCCAATCCGACAAATAAACTATCCAACAATTATCCCCACAACCCTGAGCGAGGTTCTCACTCCCCCCTTACCTGGATAAGCAGGAGCTGGAACTTGGGCAGGGCCTCCTCCTCTGGATTCTCTCTTTCTT